GCAAAAAAAAAAAAAAAAAAGAAAAAAAGAGACATGCAATAGAGATAAATACACACTTGATCTGGATATAATCGAACCACGCATGATAAACAAACGTACCATTTAATACGTGGACGGAAACCGTGGTGGCGGCCGCCACATCCGCCAATGCGCAACTGTAATTCCCGCTGTCTTTTTTATTCGCGTTTGCAATGTAGAGCCTGGATATCGCACCACTGGCGCCCATGTCCGTCTTCACGCTGGAACAGAAAGCAAAAATTGTGTAGAAACGGAACCTCGAAGTTGCCTTTTTAACGGTTTCAAGGAAAAACAGACATCACGGATATTTTCTCGCTTCGCAAATACGGGAAATGACCATAATCAAAGGAGTTTATTTTCAACCGAGAGAAATTCGTGATTAAATATTAAACGTTAAAAGAGATGAAAAATTATTTGAGCAATGAAATGATTTAAAGGAAAATAAATATTTAAATTCGTTCAATTTTTTTTTAAATAAAATACAAGAAATTCAGACGAAATTATGATTGTTATGATTAAATAGATTGAGATAATTACGGTTCTTTAATAGTTTTAGTTAACTATGTAGTTAATCACATGTTAGAAGTAATATAAGTCGTTCATTTATTAATTAAGTAGTTTAAGAGAATTATAGTTAGAAGAGCGTTACAGATGTTATAGATCATCATTTATCAGACACGAGGAATAAGCTAGTTATGATCAAGTAATTAATCACTCATATATTATAGATCATTTATTCATCAATCAAATAAATGAGACAGTTGTAATTATAGAAATTATACAAGTTTCTGAACTTTTTAAATACAGAATATAAGTCATTCATAAGCAAATAAGTACTATAATTCACTTGTTGATCAAATAGTATTGGACAAACAACAAGTGTATATACTTGTTGTATACAACAAGTATACAACAATCTATATAACAATATAAATTAACGAGAATCATTCATTTCAAACTTCAAACTCAAATCGACAAGATAATATCAGACAAAGAGAATCTTCTACACGATAATACAAATAAAATCATAAACTTAGTTATTGAAGAACTCTTAAACACTTAAAAGAGAAATTCAGACGTTCTCCACTTTCGACTCGTTCAACCCATCCAAATTGGTCCCTCTCGAAAAAGAATCGAACGTTTTTCCTGGGCTACCAACGAAAGAAGAGAAAGAAGGGGGTGTAAATCAAGTTGAACCCTTGGTGAAGCGTCTGCTCCTGGCAGATCGACCGTTCCTCCAGAGTTCACCCTCGGCCAAGACGTAGCATGGGACGGTTGCGGCCCATATTACGCGCCCTTAGAACACCACCGTCGGCCATTCAACCCAACGTGAAACACTTTCATTCGATTTACGGGACGCACCTCCTGATAATGACATAACCGAATTTACGAGTGTATCTGGAATGTCGACGAGAAAAATTTCCCTCCGGCCGTTGAATTACGAAACTGGTACTCGTTCTTGTGTGGGGGGATCGATTTCATCGGTGGCAATGAAATAGAGGCATCTCTTATCAGAAGGGATCAATTGCAGATTTTCCTTTCCAATTGCCAATATTCAATGGCATATGTTTTTCATCAAATCTTTTATCGAAATTTTAATCGAATTTGTAATTTTGACTTTGTATTGTGTGTCAATATTTTTGTGTTGATAATTTTAAATTTTACAATTGCAAAAGTCTTCATATGGTTTATCAAAATTCAACCAGTAAATTGTGTGTTATCAAGACAAATACAATAATTTTTTTATTAATGGAATATCATTTGAAGAGAGTGAAAACAACCCTTGAAGTATTATTTTTACTTTTTTAAGTATAACTTCGTGATGGATACAAAATGGAAGAAAATTTTAAGAAATGATTTGGAAAATTTGGAAATTGATTTCACGCACTCAAGAAGATTTTTCCATTATACTCTACATAAGTTATAGATTATGAAATCAAATTTTTCAAGATAAGTTTTCGATAGAGTGAATGAAGGCTTTTATAATTGATATTTTAGATTCAGAAATTCGATATCTAGATACTTTAAATCCTTCTGTTGAGCAATTTATCGAGATAAATTAAATCGAATATATTATAGGTATATCATGGATCAAAATTACAATGAATCAGTGTTAATTGAAAAATTTCTCCTGTTTTCGTATCAGATTTTCGAAAATGAGGATAAATTCTCCCCAATAATAGAAAGCAATATCCAATAGAACGAAAATAAATCATGTTACTTCGAATTTCCAATCGTGCACGGTCGCAATGCAAATCTAGTGTCTTCATTTCAAACAATTTCACTTTATTTCGTACAATTGATTTCGACAAACATTCAATTGCGATTCCCAATGCAATTGGTGAAATCCAATTTCAATCGGGGGGGAAAAAATTTTTGTCGAAACGAAATCAATCGAATTTCGGCAAAATGACGTTTTTTCCGATACGCATACGAATATTCACGAGTATCGAACACGAGCTGGGAAGCTTATTTAAATATGGGATACTGTTTCGTTCCTTGTTTGAATAGCGTTGTTTCATTGGAAGGAACATATATACGTGTAAAAAAATAAACGGTGGAAATTTAATATACATTAGAATATATTGGATATGTATATACGTGCAATGGAATAATAAAATATTCGTATTTCTGAATTATAATCTTTTAAATTGGAAAATATTGGAATAAATTTGAATATCATTTGAATATCATGATATACATATTATTTGTTAGACAATAATTTTCAATTTCAAATAATTTCTCTTTACTTTTCAATTTTAAATATCATTATGAATTCTTCTTTTAATATATCCTTATATGTGGAAGATATTTTCCAAAATTTTCCTTTTTTTTCAAATTTATGAAAGTTTTAATTAATCGTTGAAGCTCTAAGAACTTAAAGGAATCTTTTCATTGCTTAATCTTGTACGCAATAACCAATATAATGAAAATAAATTTGAGGAACACTTAAGAGCTTAGATTTAGAGTTATATATTTCTGGAAGTGGCTAGGGGAAATGTTACTCTCTTTCGTTTGTTTACTTGCGAACTTCCTCTTCGAGAAGTGGCTCAAGTACGTGGAAATATTACTTTCTTTGATCGATTGGTAGACTAAAATATAATCAAAATTCATCTAATGAAATTACTAAAATTCTTATTGCAATACAAATTTCGAATTATATATAAAAGTTATTATTAATTAGACTTTAATAAAAATTAAAATCTTCTAAAAATTTGTACATTCACAAAGTAAAACACGACAAAGGATCGTCCTCATTCAATAGCACACGATTAATTATTATTACTCATAAATGATAACAGTCATTATTTACTAGATATTCTAATCAAATTTCTTCCCTAACAAGTAATATAAGTCAGCCACTTGTTAAACAAGTGAAACAAGACAATTAAGCAAGTAGCACAAGTTAATCATTCACCAGACAGAAAGACCAAGAATGACAAAAGATAATCATGTTTTAGCAAGCGTATGTAATTGTAAGTCACTTATCTGAC